CTATTGCTACATAGCTAACGTTAGCATTAGCAGCTCTTTACTTAACCGTCTAAAAGTCGCGTTGCAAGTTCAGCAAGAGACTTAATTCCTTTAATCACTAAGAGCTGTCTTTGGCAGTGGAAAGCAACACCAATGTCGACTCTTGTTTCTGTCACGTCTTTTCTTCTACTGAAGTTAGCATGCTAACAAGCTAGCCCCGGCCTGTCTCATTACTCTCCGATAGCGACTCACCGCAGCCTCCGGTCTACGCCACGACGATGTAGCGCTGCTCAGAGGACGTATGATAACCTCTCGTCTCAAACTAAACAAACTTTAAAGATCTTGTCAAGCGACAATCACCACCACCTGAGTTTTTCTACCACCTGACATCCAAACACACACCTGCTACTGTGATATCACTCTGCTAGCGACAACAACCTACAAGCTAACAGTCCAGTGTGGTTTTATATTGATGGGCTAGATTAGCTAATTTCCCTAGATCACATTTCAATTGTATATATTTGTGTAAAAGTTAAAGATAAATCATCAAAAATATTTAACATGAAGTGTAAAGAAAAGGATTTTGTTATTAAATATGCTCTGAAGTAGAAGAAAAACATTTAGCATATAACAAGAGATGAGTGATTTAGTGATTAGTGATGTTTAACCACGCACTTTATCTATTTTGTTTCTGCTTTTTCTGTAGTTTAATTAGATTATATTATTCCCACGCCATTAAAATAATTAATTGTTGCTGCAAGTAGCGATATTCGTTTTTATACAGTATTTCCAGAGAGTGGATGGAGGACACAGGAAAGAGAAGAAAGAGAGTAATGCAGCTTGTAACAGTGGAGAAATTAAAGAAGGTGCAACTGATTCAAGATTCAGAAAGAGGATGGGGAAAAGAAAGAGATTCAGCGCTAATTAGTGCTAATTAAATTCAAAACGCAAGATTGCGACCTGTTCTAAAATGTGCGAGAGATATTTTAATACAGGGCACAAATTACTCAAACAAATTAATCCAATATTAGTCAGCTTTTTAAAAAAAAATTTTATTCCATAACACTGATGTAATATAAAGACCATATAGATTGACTGACAGGCTCATTTCCGTCACATCACAGGCCCACGATAAATTAGCTGAGTTGAGGTAGAGTTGACCCACCCCTCCCTCCCTCCCTCCCTCTCTCCCTCCCGCCTAATATTACAACTCATCACCAGCAGCCGACATGTAAACAACTGGAAGAATTTTTATTTTTATTTTTTTTCATCTTATTTTGCAACTGAGTGTCATGACAGGTCAATTTTTAAATGTGACCGTATCAGGACGAGGCATGCAGGAACAGCACGCTCCCTCCCTCGTCTTGAATGTCACAAAACAGACTGTTGCTGTCGTGTCACCAGCAGAAATAGTGGCCTTACAGTGGATGAATTACCATCCCCTCCATGCTCCAGCTTCACTCTAATAAGCAATGGATTGTTCACAAAAATGGGGAGGAAAGAAAGAAAAAAAAAAAAAAAACTGAGACCGAACAGATAGAAATTCATTTGTAAGTCTGGGCTGTGACTATTTGCATGGCGATGAAGGCCCCGAGTGTTCAGCAGTCTTCAGATGCGAATGCCAGACAATAGAGCCAGTGTTTGTTCTTCCCCTGGAAGTTTGAGAAGGACAGAAAAGGGGAGAAGAAGAAGAAAAGGGGAGGTCGTCAGTGGAGGGGATTACGCATTGTGAGAACCACGCGCATTCGCTTCTGCTATTGTGGTGACTGAATTGCTTTCCAGTACCAGGGTATTTAGTTAAGCAGATTGTGTTTCCTTACACCCCACGATGATCTCTCTTGATGGCGGCTGGAGACAAGTGGCTTGGAGAATCACACAAACAGGTGGGTGTGGTGTTGGACGCTATGCATCCTATAAGAGATTATCTTTTGTTAGAAGATAATTAGGTGTAGTTTTGAACATTATCTAGGAAAGGATGCACAAAGGAATACAAACAGGAATACAAGAGGTTTTCAGCATAAAGGCGGCGGCAGCAGCAACAGCAACAGCAGCAGCAGCAGCAGAAGCAGAAAGGCTGAAATTCATAATAATTGAATACAATCAATTCTAAATGAGTCCAGGGGTTCTTTGTGCTTGACACAGCAAGAAGTCAGTAAATTTCTTGCATCTTTTAAAATGGCTGCTGGCATTTTAACAGTGTTGTGTCTTTATCAAATAGCCGTCAGTGATGTTTTGAATTGCTAAAGAAAATACTTTCAAGTGGGTTTAATTATAATTGTAACAAAATGATGTGGTTGTGAACAAACTTCTTGGATCACTGTGGCTTCTCTATTGACAATCTGATGAAAAGTTTATCAATTGAAATATGCACACTATTCTCTCATTGAGTGTCTGACCTGTCCACTTGCCTGTAATATTTAGCAACAAAACACAAGCTCTCACCACATTCCTCCTCTGGAAACTGAGCGAAAAGGAATTTGATTCAGAGATAATTCGAAATGTCACACAATGAAATAGATTATTTTACAGTTTCCATGACCTTTCTCTTTTAGGGGGTTGGGGTGGGGCGGGGGTTTGGGGGGGGGGGGGTGTCACTCTGACACTGCACAACTCAGTTTATGAGAAGACAACCTTGGTAAGACAATAAAACAAATGGAAAAATGCTAACAAAACATGGCCTTACAGCATCTTCCCGGTTGTAGGCCCAGAGACGGCATGACTGAAAAGACTGAGGGAGTAAACATGACAGCTTCAAGGATACTGAAGTTCAGTACTGAGATGATTGTCTGCTCTAAAAATCTTGTCCATGTCTGATGTTCTTTGAAACTCCATGTGAAACTTTAGTCGCTAACTTCTTTTTATCATCATAATTAAGCCTTTATAGATAATAGCCTGTAGTTGAAATCCACTGGTCTATCTTTTTTTTTTTTCTTCTTCTTTTTTATTATTATTCTTTAATAAAAACTTTGGCGGGATCAGTTAATTGTTTTCCACGAAAAAAGAAAGGAGCCAAATAATAGGCTGTAGTGCTATCGCTGATAAATGTCAGTGGAAATTCGTGACACTTTGCTAAGCAGTAATGATTTCCACTTGTGCTCATAACAAAATCAAACAAATTACTTACTAACAAGTACATGATGACTTGACATTCCCCTGTTGTTCTAGCTCAGTCTCTAGACTCATTTGAGGACCTGAATTAGGAAACATAAACTACATGTCAGTGTTATTGTTTTACGGAGCTGAGCAGTAAACAGCAAGTCCCATGATGGGCTCCCAAATGACCAATTAAGGACATATTGTCTTAGAAGAGTGATCTTAAAGAAGTCAGGCTTAACAGATGTTTTTTTTTTTTTTTTCTTTCTTTTCTTTAATTGTTCAAGATTGTGAATTCTTGTAGTTAAATGAGAGGTCTGAGTCCATGTTTAGATGCACTGTCACATCCAGCCTTACACAGTTTCCATATTTTTCCACATTTTTTCCATTTCCTTTTTCAATTATCATTCACCAAAGCAAGTCAGAAGACCAACGCACAAAAAAACAACATAATTAAAGCTCACATGAAGTCAGCGGGCAGGGCATGTTGATATTGACGTGTCATCCGCAATGTCAAGTGGAAGCAGCTTTTTCTTTATTACTGTGTTTCAACATTCGCGTTGGCACATTAGACCTCGTTTTAATAGCAACCCCCCCCCCCTCCCGAAAAACCATTACTACAACAGAGCGACGTTTTATTAGCTAGAAACACATCACCATATAGGAAAATAATGTGACGGTCTCAGCGCATCTAGTGCTTAACATTGTGAGACTGCAGCTCATTGTCATTCTGTCATGTGGCAGAGTAGCATACTGTACATACAGGCTACAGGAGGTCTGCTGGAAATGGGAGGAAGGCCTATTAGAGGTAATGAATGGCTGTCAACCACAGGGCACTCTGCATGTAGTGCATGTCATGTTGAAATGAGAATCTCTTTTGAAAGGGGAAAATTGACCATGGAGTTCAATAGTGCCTCTTTTTTTTTCTTCTTTTTTCTAATGTATATATATATATATATAATAATATAATGCTATATAATATGTTTCTCTTTATTTTTCGCGGAGCCTATACACCTGTTAGTGATAAGTGATGGGTTGGAATAATAAAAGGCTCATATTGAACAGATGCATCACGATATTTGATACTTTTAAAATCAGACTTTGGCAGGTTCACCATTATTATCAAGCGCCATCAGGATAGCTGTCACACATGAACATGTGTTTTACTTGCTCCCTAACACGATTGCTATTTACAGACCAGGAGCTGGGAGATTTTTTTTTTTTTACCCATTATTTTCCCAGAATTTCATCACTTATTTCCAGCGAGGCCCATCTTGTTAAATTGGCACCTAAACATCTGTTGACCTGCGCACTATTCCAGCCACATCAGTAAAGCCTGATACCCCCAGGAAGATTTTCAAGCAGACTCCTTGGCATGTTGGCAGCTGAGCAGTTGCTCAGAGTAACATCATTGAGGGCTTGTTGTCTAGTTTTGGCTCAAGGCGTTCGGTTTGGGCGCGTGCTTGGCAGCTCTATGAAAGACTATAACAGCTCACGATTCACTGGCCACTAATTGGAATGTCACTCCACAACGTTCGGACATATGAATGCGGCCCGTAAAGACATATATAAGCACAAACACTTACTCTCGTTCATGTCCTGTATCGAAATTGAATTTCAGAAATGAAAGTCCGCATCAGTAATTGATTTTACCAGCTCATTACAAATGGGTCTTGACAGCTAATTTACTTTCACAAGATTAAACATGAACATTATGAGCTGTTAAATCATTAATACCGCAACTACTCTAACTGCTGAAACAACTTCCTGCAGTATACTCCATATTTTATATTTCCACCGGGACCACCCGTGCTAAAAATGCATGCACCCCCGTTCCTATGCAGCACTTTCATGGAAGCGTACACATCAAGGAACTGTATATGTGATCTGCTGATATTACAGTGTGGGGAAAAAACCCTATTAAAAATGGTTAAGAATTATGGTTGTTGTGACTTCCAGCCCTTAATAACCGCCGATCCCACTGAGTGCTGATGTATGGTTTTGGTTCAGGGTCTCATGTCTAGACAAATAATCTCTTTTTGCTTTTCAAGGTAAAACACCTTTATGAGACAAACGTCTAAAATGACAGCAAGGCTGAACAACATCACACAGGTTCGAGCCAAACACCTACGCTGCTGCAGGGGAAAACAAATACTGTAAACATATTGTCGTTTCAAAGGAGAAACGGTTAATTTACTGAGCAGAATTGACGGTGACGTGTTTACACGAAACTAAACTTACACTAAATTGATGTAATTTAATTTGTTTGATTTCAAGTCTGCTAATTTTAGGGGGGTTTTTGTCAATGCAAGATATTGTATTTGTGTGGTCCTAAGTAATTTGCTGTCTTGTCTGACTTTCATTGTCCTTACACTCTTGACCCACATTATAATTGGTGCATCGATTTGAATCATAGTTTGTCAGAGGCATGTGTGTCTCTGTTTTTCATGTCTGGGGAGACATTGATCTCATTAGAAGTCTTCATTAGTCAGCTGCAGAGTGCAGTGTCATGCTTAAGGAATGATGTTCAGGCCCTGCTCTCCTTCGTGAAACACAATGCAGAGCCTTGTTTGAATTCAAAACAGAGGGCAGCTTTTTAAAGCCGCCTGTGCACGACGGCAGGATGCAAAAAGCTTGGACAAAGGGTTTGTTTTTTTTTCTCGCAAAATGGAATTTTGATTGGCTTTCTTTCTTGAATTTGTTATGCATCTGAATTATTATTGTGCAGTGGGTTTGACATAACTCTTCAGATGGACAAAAAGAGTCAGAGTCATGTTGAAAAGTGGCGCCCCTGCAACCTTTTGTGTGAGACGCCACAGCCATGTGATGAGCTGTATGATGCCTGTCATGTTGAATTGATTTTAAACTGTTTAAAACGCTTGATTATATAAAAGTCTACAGCGCTTACAAGTTTGCATTTGTAATACCACCCCCATCTGTTTTAACTGACCGCTTTTAGTTTATTCGTTATTTTTAGCTAACTATTTGAACCGGTTATTACTTTTAGCGTTTATCCAGCACTTTTAGCTAATCGTTACTTTTAGCTAACTGTTTCAATTCTTTATTTGTTAGTTTGAGCTAACTGTCAAGTGTTTGTTTGTTACTTTATAGTTCACAGTTACAACAGTTTATTTACGTGCTGCAAAGGACTTTTAAATAACTAACTATTTAAACCTCTCTGTCACTTGCTAACTAGTTTTCACACATTCAGTTGCAGTGTTCAGAGTTAATGCTAGCTCATCATAGATGTACAGTAGTAATTAAATTATGAACAAGTGGAACGACACTACAATGCAGATGCTAGTTGGTAATCAATGATACAAAAGACTTTTTTTTATCTACTACATGTAAACTCCACAAGTTAGAATTGCCTTATATCATTAAATTTTTTTATTTTTAATTCCAAACAGCAGATAGGAAGGCTTTAAATGTAGCTTTGTCATTTAAAAAAAAAACACATAACACATTTATTAACAGCTTTGTGTAATTAAGCATTTTATTTTTGGATTTTACTGCACTGCTACAGATTTAAATTTCCTCATTTTGCAATCTCTGTGCACTGCTGGAAATTTCTCACTGCAGCTATTAATTAAATTGTTAACTTTTATTTCAGAGGCATGACCGTGCATACAAACCACATTGTGACAAGATGGGATACGGCACTGCCGGGATCATGAATTACTGTGCTGTTGAGTGAAGAATTGTTACCACTAGACCAGTAACACCTCCATCTCCTGCCCACTAACCATGGGAAGTGCAGAGGAAATGCACGGATGGACAGTTAAAATGAGCACGCCGAGCGTTTTGGCTGTGGTGACGGTCTTTTCTATGATTCCTGGCGGGGTGCTGAGCGATATGAGAGGTACTCAGGGTTTGGAAGCCCAACAATTGGCCCAGGGGTCCACTCATCTGCACCGTCGCCTGAAGAGAGGCTGGATCTGGAAACAGATGTTTGTCCCCGAGGAAGATCCCACTCTTCGCGTTATTGGCCAGGTACTGCTTCAGATTGAATGTCCTCCATGTCCTTGATGTGGTACTTCCCTTTGAAAAAGCTCGTTGGAAAAGCATGCTTTCACCTCCCCCCCCCCTTCCTCTTTTTGCAGATCAAATCTGATTCTGACCGAGGCGAGTTTTCTATCAAGTACATATTATCAGGGGAAGGCGCCGGAGATGTGTTTGAGATAGATGAGTATTCTGGTGAAATCCGGACGCTGAAGAAACTCGACCGTGAGGAAAAGGCCTTTTACGTCCTCCAGGCCCAGGCTATCAACAGGAGGTCCAACGAACCCGAGGAGCCCCAGTCAGAGTTCATCATCAAGGTGCAGGACATCAACGACAATGTCCCCCAGTTCCAGAACGAACCGTATGTGTCCAGCATCCCCGAGATGTGCCCAGTCGGTATGTTTGAGAAAGCTGAAGTTTCCCTTTAACACAGAGGTTGAAGGTAGGAGGGAAAAAGTCTCCAGTTGGAATAATAATAATGACAAAAATGATCTGCTCCAGTTTTGAGCTCTGTTGGATTTCTGCCCCCACCCTATACAATAGAGGTGAATGAAATTAAATATGTGGCATACAGGAATAAGAAAAAAAAGAAACATCACATTTTTAATATTCAGCAGTGACACGTCCTTCCGAGATCTAGTGTATGTCCCTGTTACTCCGAATAATCCTTAGACCTCATTCGCTGTAAAGAGCTTTCAGTGGAACTACATCACATCGGATAGATGGTCCTTATATAAGCAGCTCACAGTAAGGTCAGTGATTTATTAAAAGTAAGTAAAAGTGTTTTGCCGTGCTCGCTGTGGATGGTATTGTCAATCATTTGGTCAACAACTTTAGTTCAGACTGAAGTATCTTGACAGTTGTTGAATGAGTCGCAATGAAATGTTGTACAAAAAAAATCGCTATTCCGCTCACGCTTTTTGAATGACGCAGCACGATTTTGGGATAGTCCAAACAATGCCATTATTCATCAAATGTGTCCCTTTCACTATTGGTATGTCCTCCAGAGAAGTGTTAAAAGATGATTCATGGAAACAAACTTTTGTACGCATAAAAACCTTTTATTTGCATTATTGGCTTCACTCCTTTTCAAATGAATTTTTTTTCTAAACTTAAATCTTGATCGGAGACAATAAGCAAAAAGGTTATACGAATGTCTATCATCTGTCCCCGTTCAGGAAGTTAAAAGTATTGGATTCCATATCATGGCTCGGATGCCTTTATGGCTAAATTTCTTAAATAATGTTATTATAACCACTGCCCTTTTCATACCACAAACATTAACATTTCAATTTATATGTAATCTGCTTTTGCAGCATAATATCTCACTTGTAATAAATCATAATGCATTCGACTCAAAGAGAAAGTGAGAGGGGAAGGTTGGAGAGCAGGCGAATGAGAATAAGAAATACTGCAGTAAATCCCTGCCTGTGTGAGAGGCAGAGCTCAATGGGAGGAGGAAAAATAGAAAAAAAAGGAACGAGACAGACAAGAGGACTGAGGGAAACGAAAGATACTGTAGAGCGCAAGGTGAGGAGAAGGATGTGGTCAGCAGAGAGAAAGGGCAGCGAGTGTGAGAGATAGAGAGGTAAAACTGAATCAGAGAGAGAAAACAAGGGTCAGGTGGATGGGGAGAGAGATATTGCTACAGGCCTGGAGAGGTTGTCACACACACACACACACACACACACACACACACACACCTGCAGCAGCCTTACTGAGCTGTGAAAGGCCGACGCTGCTCCCCACTGCCACCCACCCCTTTGTCAACATCCCTCCTATAACTCTACCTCAACCTCACCTCCTCCCCTCCCCTCCCCTCCCCTCCCCTCGACTCCCCTCCTCCCCGAGCCAGACAGACAGACCCTGCGGGACTGTGGCATAATCACTTTATTTCCCGTCGACTGGAACTGCTGCCTGAGCTAACTCTGACTCTGTGAAATCCCCACCCCACCCCCACCCACCCACCCACCCCGCCACTCTCTCACTCTCCCCCCCTCTCTCTCCCGCCCCACAGGGACCACAGTGGCCCAGGTGACAGCCACAGATGCCGATGATCCCATGTTCGGAAACAACGCCAAGCTCATCTACTCCATCCTGCAGGGGGAGCCCTACTTCTCCGTGGAGCCGAAGACAGGTGTCATGGCCGCCGCAGAGGCTTTCAGTTATTATCATCACAGAGCCTTCCACGAATCCCCCCCCCCCCCCCCCCCCAATGGTCCAGACCACTATCAGGAAGGCACACAAGAGATTTGCTTTATAATAAGTGTGCTTTAACAAAAAAAAAGAAGAAAAAAGACTAAAATGTTTAAATTTTCAGGTTGATGAGACAGGAAACTATCTCGTCCCTCTGGTCAAAGTTACTTTTGACAAGTCTGAGATACTCTTCACTTTTAAAAACTGTATAAAATCCCCTGACAGCTGCATCTCTCTCAAACAACTACTGGACAGACTGTGCCTACTTTTTAGGCTATTGGAAATAAATGTGAGTTTAGGTTTACACTATGACAAGAACTGGCTTGAACTGTTGCCAGTGTGTTTACATTTAAACTAATTTCTTGTGTTATTCAGAGGTCAGCTCCAGCACTTCCCACACACATTGTTGACCTGAACTGTGAAGAGAGTTGGGGGAGGGCAGTATTGACGTCGAACAAATATTTAAATGCAAATTAATGTAATATGTAAAAGGGCAAATCAGACTTTTCTTTTTTTCTTTTTTTTTTTTAGGAGCCAGTTGTAAGTTTCCATTGAGGAGCGGGCAGCAGTAGTTTTGCTCAGTTAATGGATAAAATAAACTGCCATACTAAACACCTTACTCTAAGATTTAGGAGAAGGGAGTTTGGTCTGTTTTCAGGGGTAAATTAAGGAGTAATTAATGACATTTTAAGGGGTTTTAAGGGAATCTGTTAAAAACAAAGCACAGCGATGTCGACACCGTAGTTTATTTTGAATCAGTTCCACTTTCCTCCTCATGATGACGTGAAATACACGTTACACCCAATGTGTATTAATCCACAGCTGAAACTAGTCCCCAACAAATCGTCTGAGTACAGATTTATTTATTTATTTATTTCATATCCTTGATATAAAAAAAAAAAACTGATGGCGTTTTTAGCGTTGTCACTCGGCCGCTGTGGCGTTTGCAGCTCTGCGAGATGCCGCGTGTTCCCGCGCAGGGCGGATGTGTTCACGGTAAACAGCAGAGATACTCGGATGTCTGGATGTGGTAGGCAGGAAAATCGCTGCTGAAAAGCTTGTACCATCCAAAAACGAGACCACTTGTAAATGTATCAGTGGGTGAAATTATGACTTTCAAAGCAAAACAACATAACTCTGCCAGGTTGATCTAATTCTCTTGATTCAAATTTTTCATCTATTTACTTTTGCCCGCAGCCCTCGGTTTGGCCAGACAGAGGAAACATTAAGTCATCCGAAAGCCCTCTTGATATTTCTTCTTAGCATTGATTACATTTGCAGACTTCAAGTTTATTGTGGTGCAGTTTTATTACACATAATGCACAGCGCTCTGAAAGACTACTCGAGGCAAAGTTTGTTTACTTACATTCGGTTTAGAATAAAAAAAATATATAAAATAAATAAAAAACAGAAATCCACCCACAGATGCACTTGATGCCGTCTTAATGAACCCGGCTCTCCTCTCGTCTCCCTCCTCTTCTGTCTGTCTCCTCCACCTGCAGGGATTGTCGTAACGTCTTGGCCAAACATGGACCGCGAGGCCAGGGAGCAGTACCTGGTGGTGGTGCAGGTGAAGGATATGCTGGGCCTCAGCGGCGGCTACTCCTCCTCCACCACGGTTACCGTCAGCCTGACTGATGTCAATGACAACGGACCCACGTTCCAACACCGTGAGTCGCTTACATGACTCACAATGATGCAAACGCAGGACCGCACACACACACACACACACACACTCAAGGAATCAATGAAAGAGTACAAAGCGTTGCAGACTGTGAGGACATATTTAATATTATGCCTAAGAGGTATTTATTTGATCACACTTCTGCGGTTCGGGTGGGTGGTTTATGCTGCCAGCGCTTTACTCGGCTGTACACATCTTGTTATTCAGCCGGCAGCTAAAATTAAAAGGAGACAGTCGAAGAATGAGAGAGAGAGAGAGAGAGAGAGAGAGAGAGGGAGTGAAAGAGACGGGGAAAGGAGATGGGTGATGTTCTGTTCATCTGCTGTGTGCACGTGTACATGCGTCAGCCGCTGGATGAATTTAATCATTCACACATGAAGGGACATTTGTCATGACCTTTGGAAACAAACGTAGCCATCTCAGCGATAAACCTCACTGAATGAACGCCCTGGGAAGAAATCAATTCTGTAGAAATGAGACAGAAGATGATACTTTTAACTATTAATGTCACATTCACATTCATTGCAGGCGCCGCTGTAACCTGCTGGATTCCATGTTCAGTCCAAAAGGGCCTTATAAATACTGTATGGCCGCTCTTCACTTTGAACTTCGCCCTCTGTTTTGTCACATAATTGCAGAATTATTATCAGCAGGATGTTTTGGTGGTTTTTTTTTTTTTTTCTTCCGGAGCAGCTGGTTGCCTGTTGAGTCCCTCCCAGTTGTGGCAGCCATCCAAATGGAGTCGCTCAAAGACACAATCACATTTTCTCATCTTCCTATTAGAGTTAGGCTGGGATTATGTGGCGTTGCCGCAATTTATCTGTGACTCGCACAAATTGACCCTCCACTACAATGTTCTCCGTTCTTATCGCTTTACACACAAGCAAACTCTCTAGACTAGCTATTAACAACTTACTGTCGAGCTCTGCAGGCGTGTTTCGGTGATGAAACTTTCTGTTTTTTTTTATTTATTTGTTGTGTTTTTCTCCAAATTGGAGTCATCATTATGCGCTTGAAAACTACCAGTTTGGTATCATCCATATTTTCTATTCCTTTTGATATCCCATTCCGACATCAACCTCTCACACTAACGCTGTCAATACGGATGACTTTCAAAAAAACAAAAAACAAAAAAAAGCAACCCTTGTTTCCTCAGACCTGTACGCCTTCGCCGTCCCTGAGAATGCAGCTGTGGGCACCACGGTGGGCCGGATCATGGCAGAAGATGGAGACATCGGCGTCAATGCCAGGATGACCTACAGTCTGAATGATGACCTGGAGGAGAGCTCCACTTTTATCATCAAAACAGACCCAGTGACGCAGGAGGGAGTGGTTCTGCTAGCCAAGGTGAATACATACACATCACTTCACTTGATGCAAACATTATTTCAGGCTCATATTTTCACTTTCCCCTCCACGCACAGTTTATGTTTATCCTTTATAGCATGTAGGAGATTTCAATTTAGATGCTATGATAATGAAATAAATAAAAACAAACAAAAAAAAAACATTATTGACTCTGAATCATTTTGGGAACGTGGTAATGGTTTGCATGCTGTTTTCTTATTACTGCCGTCATAATGTTAATTGAAAACACAGCATTATTTAAGTGCGTGCTCACAGCTGGTAGCTTATTGACATTGATTAAACATTTTTTTTTTTACATCCAGTCTGCGTTGTGTCCAGCTGTCAGTGGAGAACTCATCCGTTTTTGAAAAGCTGTTAAGTTTTCTTAATGATGATGATGGTTTATCGAGGCGTTTTCTGCTCATAATATGAAAGGTATATCTTTCCCTCATAGCCTTTGGACTACGAGACAAAGAGACGTTTTGTTATGGCTGCAGAGGCTGTTAACGATCACGTGGACACTCGTTTTCTGACTTTGGAGGATTTCAGGGACAGGACGACGCTCAAGATCGTTGTGGAGGATGTGGACGAGCCGCCTGTCTTCCTCTCACCCGTCTACGAGTGGAAAGTTCCTGAAAATGCGGCGGCGGGAACCGCGGTTGGCAGTGTTAGTGCCAGAGACACTGACACAGTCAACAATCCCATCAGGTAATGTGAACCATCCAAACCAGGAAGAGTGGCATCTGCCACCCAACTGCCAGTGTGTTAATGATGAGGCAGATACCCAGGCGTAGGGGAGGGGGGGGGGGGGGGGGGGGGGGGGGGGGCATCCCTAGACAGCTTGCCCTAGACAGTTTCCTCCACAGGGTGAAAAATCATTCCATATCAAATAGTGTTACTGGCTCGGTGCATCCATTTTTACCCTTGATCTCTGGATACCCTGTACATGGTCATATTTATCTCATATTACTTTAGTAGGAAATGAGCCCTGCTGAATAAATCATGACAATTTTTTTTTTATTTATTTATTTTTTTATACCTCACAGGCTTTTCTATCTATTGCCGTGGTATTATCACAAAGCGACGTGGCTAGGACGTGGGAATGTAATAAAGCACCATACGAGGTGGCATATGGAATTGAGATTTGCAGTCATTTGCAAGTGGGGCACGTCGCAGAGGAGACGGCAGCACTACTGGTGCCTGTAGTCCATCTCAGCAGAGCTTAAGAGTGGCAGGTGCTGCATATCATCCTCAGCCTAGTGTCTATTACTGTCCCTTTGGTGACAGTGTCTCATTGATTAATAAATTCGGGATGACATTTTAGGGGTTTCCACAGTTCTAGCAAATATGATTAAGTTTGCTTTGGTCAAATTGGCTTATTTTCCATGTTGTTATCAGCAAAGTGGCTCACGGAAATGATTCATTATTCAGAGTGTTTTTATTCCTGGTTGCCCCCTAATTCACCATGGGTTTATAATCACTTACATAAACAAGTGTTAAAGGTATGGCGGTGTGAAAGACATGTGCAATAACAAGCAAATATTTCTTTCATGAGGAATATCCTGCGGACCATAAATGTGTGTGTTTTTCTTAAGTTTATTTTTTACAATTGCAGGCCCTCACGTGTCACCAAACAAGTCGCAGGGAAATGTATCAGCTGCACCACCTGTAACTTTGTGTTGAAACGTTTTCTCTATGTTTACAAGATTCCCCCGTCTCACTGTTTATAAATTCACTTATGGCAAAATACGAAAAGTCTGTAGCCAGACTAAAAATAATATTCAATTAGAATAACTGGAAAAATACATAGAACTGTGTCTATGCCATCTGTGTGAGGCGCTTTGTTTTGACAGTGTTGTTGCTGCTGTCACACTAGCTTGTGTGTATACTGTCTTTGTTGGATATCTGTCAACAGATTAAAAAATTGAGCAGTTTGCCTAATTAATCTCCCTGTGGCATCGCAATGTTTTGTTTGCCCAGAAAACAACCTTGCCTGCTAAATGTGTGTGTCCCTGTGATTTTTCAAAAAAATTTTTTTTTTCCCCAGATATTCAATTGACAAAAGGAGCGATGCCACAAGAGCTTTCAAAATAGACCCAAACAATGGGACTATAACTGTCGCTACAGCTTTGGACCGAGAGACTTCAAACTGGCACAATCTGACTGTTGAAGCCAAGGAAATAAGTAAGGAGAATTTCATGTCTTGCACAATAATCTCTTGTTGATGTGTCAAACCTATTGCACATTTATCCTCACTCAGTCGAGAAACCTGTCCAGAATATAATCAGGGCAAGTTGATGACTAATCTTTGTTTGGAGCTGTGACCTCGTGGGTTTCAACACAGTCCCTGAAAATATGATGCAGTGGCTCAGCTTACTTTGAAAAACTGCGTGTTTTATTCCATATGTTGACTCAGCTGTTACACCTGAGCACTAATACAACACAGTGGTTAACAAGCAAGCAGAGAGGTCATAGTTAGCCAAAAGTGATGGGAAAATTGTTGAAATTGATGCTGTAAGTAATTAATAAACATTTGAAATAGTCACCTATAAGTAAGAGGTTAATGGTTGAAGTTTTTAGCTTAAAGTAATGAATGATGGTAACTAACCCGATAAGTAAAAGTACAGATAAGTGGTTGAAATAGTTAGCTAAACACAATGAATGAATTAAAGCTACTAATTAATGACTGAAGCAAAGTAATTAATAAATACTCTAAAGTTATAAGCGGTTGATGAGTAAATGGTCGAAACCCCAAGTGTGTTCACTTTGTTAGCTGACAAAAGTGCCGAATAATATCCAGTTTAAAGTCACTTCAACATAACAAATGATGTTGATGAAGGGATAATGAATAAACAGTTGATAGTTAGCTAAAAGTAATTGAGTTGAAATAATTAGCAAAAAAATTATTGATAAACATCTGAAATAATTAACTATAAGCAATGGATCCAATGGTTGAAAGAGTTAGCTAAAAGCAATTGATAAACAGTTCAAATTTAAAGCTAAAGGTAATAGACAAATGTTTGAAATAGTTAGCCTAGCTAAAAGCAATGGATCCAATGGTTGAAATAGTTAGCTATAAGTAATGGATAGCCTAGTTAGCGAAAAGTAATGGACAAATGTTTGAAATAGTTAGCCTAGCTAAAAGTAATGCATAAATGGTTGAAATAGTTAGCCTAGCTAAAAGTAATGCATAAATGGTTGAAATAGTTAGCCTAGCTAAAAGTAGCATTTTTACTGTTCAGTCTGTCGTCTTGTTCTGTCGAAAGCAGTGAAACGATAACATCCTTTTTGTGTTGTTTGCAACAGTTGTGATTCAAGGAGACGAAACATTTATCAGTTTTAAGTCTTATTTTGACAGAGCTTTTACAAAGCATTTATGATACATGCACCCAGTGGACTCCAGCAAATGTCTGTCTCCCACTCCTGCAGCGCAGAACCATTTATCCTCCTCTGTGGTGGTGTTCATCAAAGTGCTGGACATAAACGACAATGTGCCAAGGCTTGCAAGAGATTACCAGCCATATATCTGTGAGGGGACACAGGCGGGAGAAGTATGTATATTATGATGCACTGATGCTTATGATTTACTATGTAGCAGCACAGCAATGAGAATTTTCCATCAATGTGAACATTCGAAGTTCTCATATTACATCATATTCTATATCTTTTTACACCTTAAAGACCTGAAATGGTTCCTTTTTGACCATTGTGCAGCACTATATGATATTATGTTCTTCACATTGTTAGCTACTGAATGAGATTCTGAGTGTCACAGTTCTGGGGGGGGGGGGGGGCTGCATATGATTAGATAGACCTCCAAAATCTGTGGTGTATATGTGACTGCTTGTGTTGCTCTCATTTCTTCAGCAAAGTTTCTTTGTGTGTCTCAGCTCATTCAGCTGCTCAGTGCTTTTGATCCAGACGACCCCGTGGAAGGACACCACTTCTACTTCACTATGGTCCCTGAGAAGCATATCAATCCAAACTTCACTATCAGAGATAATCAAGGTTATATTCACTCAGATAATACCACGAATAACAGCTCTGTAGCTTTATATTTACTACTGTGAATAATAACGTACAGTTATGCAGGCCGTAGCAGCTTCACATTGCTAAAGCTTCTTTTACACCTCGCATTCTCTGGGACGGGACTCTGGTCCAAACCTACACTGCACTTAACAAAATTTCAATTGCAACCTGACCCAGAATGCTTGTGAGTGACAATCTCATCATCTTCCCTGTCGTCTTTCAGATGTTAGTAGCCGCATAAAGCAAGGTTGTTGTGCAGAGGTGGGAGTAAAATGGAACCTTTTAAAAACTATCCATGCAAAGTGTGGAAATTGAGGTTTACTGTGTGAAAAACACGCAGCTCTCAAGGATGAGTAGTTCGAGAAATACTAGAAGCACAGGACCAGTGTGTGTAATTTTCAGTGTGAAGAGTGATAAAACAACACTGCATCACCAAACATGCCCATTTTAAACCAAGCTGCCCTGAGAGTATGGAGCTAACTGAACCAGCTGAAAACATCACATCGAGCTACCGTCAAACGAACTGTAAAATTAAGACAAGACACCACTCAGCATTTCTTTAAACCATGAATACATTAAACATTTTCTGGAGTCTTTAAATATGACTTGCTGAATCAAGCCTGGACCAACACTGGAAACTTTGCAACTGGACCTCTACTATCTCCGTATGAATACTCAGCACAGTAAATATGAAGCTACAACCAGCAGCCGGTTAACTGAGAGCTGAACACAAGCGAGATACATGTTCATTACTAGGCTTGAGTGGCACAATTTAATTACCTTTTAGACAGTGCCCGGCCAGCTGTTTCCAGTCTTTATGCTAAGCTAAGCTAACAGTCTGCTATAGCTTCATATTTTCGTGTGCAGACATGAGAGCGGCATCGTTCCTCTTTTGAAGAAATTAAATAGAAAGTAGAAGTCCATTAGAAACTGTCATTGGACCAAATGCAAAAAGTAAACTGCTGTTTTAAACTCAATTTGCATTATTATATACCTCTTGTATAAAAACACTTTCATTTTCAAATTACTGGCATTTCCTATTATGGGCTTTAAGCTGCAGGGGGAAAAAAAAAAAAGAATGAAGACACCAAATTACATGAAATTAGATGAAGCCCATACTTCAATTTCCGTTTTGTGGCTGAAATAATGATGGTGAGCCGTGGTGAACCAGCAGTGGTATGACTGTGTGAAAAAGGCAGAATGAAGGGATTGTTTATGATCGGAAGAGTTTGAATTGAAACGAAACACAGTGTGTGTCCCGTAAATGTCTGGGAGCCTTTTGGGATGAAACTCTTCAAGCGGCTTCTGGTTTTTGTATCTGACTGCCTCTCAAGTAAGTAAATTGAAAGAGTGTTTGCCTTGTAGTCAATGGGCAGTCGAGCCTTTTTATTTCAGAGTTTATAATGAAAACAGGCAGTAAAAGTCGAACAAACAGTGTTGTTTAAGTGTGCGGCGGAAGGGATGTTTGAATGTACTGAGTAAGTTAGAATGAAATGTATGCAGCTGCAGTGTGTGGACGGTTAGCCAGGCAAGCACAGAAGTCCAGTCAGCAACTAGGAAGATGAATAATGAATCTACACCACAAGGCATATTTGACTCCCAAAAAATTCATTCGGTGCCTTGATGAAGTCTTACAGGTGCACCCAAAAACTGAAGCCGATTCTCCAAATGTACTTCTGCACACACTGAAAATTAGATTTGACAAGGTGCTCAGGCCTCTCAGAGAGCTCGGATTGTATTTTAAATCCCATTACGTGTGTCACTTCACCTGTTATTCAGCACTCACACTGCAAGATGTACTCCTGTTTTTTTTTTTTTAAGACCACTGAAAAGTGCACCTCTCCCTCTTGACATCACTTTTAGACAATACAGCCAGCATCGTGGCACGCAGGAGTACTTTCACCCGCAAGGATCGAACCCAGTATCTCCTGCCGGTGGTGGTGACGGACAGCGGCTCTCCAGCCCTCTCCAGCACCAGCACTCTGACCGTCAGCGTGTGCAGCTGCCAGCCTGCCGGCCACTGTCCCGCGGGAGGGGTGGAAGCCCTCGCTCTGTCTATGGGGGTCAGCCTGCAGACATTGTTAGGGCTTCTGGTCTGCGTGGTCACACTCACAGGTAAGATCAGACTGTATCAGACTATGACATCAGATTACGATTTGATGGCAATTTATATGAAGGAATATACTTTTTGTTTTTTGGAGTTTGTTCTCTGAAGTCTTCTAAATATGGAGCTCCAAAACTGACAGAAATGCATTAATTATGTCAAAAATATACATCAATTAACAATATTGTTAGTTAGAAAATTTGAAATGGAGCGTATAAAGAGATAATAACCCTCACCCATCAGCTTATAGAATAAAACTTAATTTCTTCCACTTTTCTTTTTATCTTTTACTCTTTAGCTCATTTTGTCCCATGAGTTCACACAGTGATTCCTATTTCTTTTTACACTAAACACAATATTATTTATTGATGTATTCAGGTGTATTTCTTCAATTTTCTGATAACCAGTTTCTGGGGCTCCATATATATATAGAAACCATTTTTGTTAAAATACAGAAATGTTCACTTAAAAATTTATCAGTAGCAGAAGATCTGTCTTTCAGAGATTCTGCGTAGCCAGACCTGCATCCTCTAAGACTCTTAAGACCTGTGAGGTTGGTAGCAATTCAAGTGTAAAAGGCAGCGATACACTGAGCTGTGGTCTTACTGTAAAGCCAATAAAATTACACTGGAGAGAAGAATTACAGTATTTACAGAAAATCTTCCAGAGGTGCCGTTTCTTGACCTGAGCATTTTCAGATTTTTCTATAGCCAATAAAAAAGGAGAGAAGATCTTGCTCTGACAGTTTTTCCAAACCTCAGTGAGACAAGACCGAGGTCTTTGTTTTGTTTACACTAAAAGAGAGACCTAGAACTAGAGAGATGATTGTTTTTCACACTTTGGATTCACAAAAAGAGTTTCACTAATAAGTCTGAGATTCTCAGAGGACAAAAACAATGTGAGCTTTGAAGAAGGATAAGGTGACCGATGGATCATGAACCCCCCCCCCCCTTTTTATAATCCTTCAGGAAATGTTGACAAATGACAATTTCACTGATATTTTGTTGTAATAAAAAATCTTTTTCAGCGGATCTGTTGAGCTAGAGCAGTTCCACCTCTCCTCGTATTGGCAAGTATATTAACGTGCTAAACAGCAGGATTTTTCATTAACAAAGCTGCATTTTGATTTGAATCCCCTTTTTTAGAACTCACCAGCGTGCCTTTAACACATACTTTTAAAATGCTGAAAGCTTGCAGTGCAATGATGTCAGGTAATGAGCGTATTGGTTGCAATACATCAGTAGCAATGCCGTCCTGGGACACTGATGGGTTTGCATAGTGAAGAGCTTTATTATGACCTCGGCTGCTTTGTGTCCTCCCCGTGCCCATCACATGAAAGATTAATGACAAGACCTGCTAAGCTAACATTCTTTCAGATGAGGACAATACCCGGTGAAAACACAGCAGAAACAATAAACACTGTTTTAGCATTCTGTGCCACATGGAGCAAATAAAAGAATTCTTCTTTTATATGCGAGCTGAGATTAAAAAAGATAATTTATAGCCTAATTTGCCCTCATTTTGATTTTTGCATCCACAACAAGTTACAGAAAAACAAATCTGGCTGCTATTATTTTCAGTGCGCTTGTACATTCTATGTGCATGCTCCATCAGGCACCCCAGATGCTTTTTTCTCACTAAGCTCATGCCCTGGTGTTTAACTATAATGATCTCCCACTGTGTTGTGTCTGCAGTGATGTCAGTTCTAATGCTGATGGTGAGAAGACACAGGCGGAAACAGCAGGAGGGGCACGAGGTGGAGGTGAAGGAGTTGGAGCTGCCTGAGACGGTGTCTCAGAAGGTGCTGTATTATGGAGAACCAGGGGGTGGAGGAGCAGACCTCGACTTCTGCCAAGCCGTCGTTCCGCTGCGCCGCCACCCCCACAGGAGGAGGGAGAAGAGGCTGCGGAGGGAGGACGTCAGGGCCAGCATACGGATGTCCCTCCGAGAGTCGCACCTCATTGGGCCGGAGGACGAGGTCTTCAGGCAGTTTATTCTGGACAGGCTGGCAGAGGCTGATCAGGATCCTTGCGTTCCCCCGTTTGACTGCCTCAGGATTTATGCATATGAGGGGTCAGGGTCTCCCACAGGGTCCCTGAGCTCATTGGAGTCTTCTACTTCTGAGATTGTGCCTGAGCAACCTGTTTGTAATCCCAGACCCTTAGTGAGACTCAGCCCTTGGTATGGGGGAGGAGAGGAGGACACCATCTTCTGATCTTTGCAGGGCAGCAGGATTAGTTTGAGATTCCGTGAAACATGTTTATTCGCATTGTTGCTTAGAGTTGTACAACAAGCTCGAGACGGCTCTTATGTGCTAACACAGCTTAGCTCTGTCTTTAGAGGTCTGGGTGAGTGTTCACTGAGTAAATGTATTTCCCGAAATGTCAAACTTTAAACATAAAATCAAACCTTATGTGAGAACAGCTATTGTTGGCATGTTTATTCTGCATGTAACTGTTCAAACACAGATTACATCACTTAGAGCTACAATGCAGTTTAAGTATGTCAGACTTTATGCTTTAAGATCAAGAGTGTTTCTCCCTCCACCCACCGCAACAATCAAATACCATTTCTACATGCACAAGGCAGTCTTCACCAGTATTAGAGAACCATTGGTCATTTTTACAAACTCTAAAAATGACCAGTGTTTATGCTTTCCTGACAAGTGACCTTTTTTGTGGTTGTGCAAATAATAACTGCCGTCTGTAAGTGGGAGTAGCGTCATGTAGTTATACTGCTTAAAAAAAAAGAAGTGCAAGGTGCAAGGTTGGGAGTACAAAGCATGTGACCTAAGCTCTGAAGACTGCAGCCTGCATCCTTTCTCCTTTCTCCTTAAGTAACTAGAACGGCACTCAGCAGAATGTATACCTCCGCCAAGGCCAAACAATCCTACGCATATCTCCAAGATCTGTTCCAAAGTCAACAAAAACCAACAATGTCATACACCTCAACACCATAAATATGATACATTATTTCCTGAGGAGTGGTCAGGCATCCCTGGATGAGCCCCTTTAACCAGATCTGCATCTAAATTTAATGGGTTGTTCCTCTGCTCACGCCCCATCCCTCCACCAAGTTTGGTGCAATGGTGAATAACATATAATCAGCAAAATTAGCTGGTCACATGGGTCGATTTTTAAAGGGGCTATATTTGTACATTTTCTCTGCTGCTGAACATAATTTCTTGCCAGGAGCGGGTAGAGGTGACTTTACAAATACAAGTGGTTATAATACTCCCACTGAGCAGCGCTATGTGTTTGCAGATCTGAGGCTACAGTGGGTCAACACAAGCCACAACACAAATGCAAAAGCCACAACACAAATGCAAAAAGACGAACCTCTGCTCACTTACGCTGTGGCTAAATTTGCATTTGTGTTGTTGCTTTTTTACGGTCGTGTTTTGGCTTTTGCATTTGAGTTGTGGCTTTTTTATTCGTGTTGTTGCTTTTGCATTTGTGTTGTGGCTTCTGTATTGTGTTGACCCATCTGGGCCACCGTAGAGGAGACACAAACACACACACAACGTTGGTGTTGCTTTCCACCTCTGGAAACAGCTCTTGGTGAGTAAAAGGAATAAAGTTTGATGCTGAAGTCAGACAACATTTCAGCAACGTAAACAGCTGTTAACGCTAGCATTGGCTACGTAGCAATAGCAAAACTTACAAATAGCACCTTTAAGACATTGACAAACAACCTGTTATGTTGTTTGGGCACTTGTTGCACGTACAGCAGCATCAATCAACCACAATGTTATCACAGCCACGAGACAGGTTACGTAGGTTGCGTACAAAATGATGAACTATTGCTTTGTTGTATTTACAAAAAGCTCTTATGTTTATGCTGTTTGCTTTGTTCCAGCCACACTGAGTCTTAGTCACTGGTGTGTGAACAGGCGCGCGTACGCACTCTTGTTGAGGTCACAGTTAAAATCATTTTGGCAGATGCTTGAAAATTACTAACTGAAGCTACAGGGTTGAATTGATGTAATGAACCAAAACGCTAAATTACACCATCAAAAATAGAGATGAGTTTGTGTGAACAAGGGGATTTATGCTTTAATGATTGCAGTTATTACAGTGTGATGAAACTATACTCACTGTATAAAACCGACAGTATTACTGACCTGTGAATCTTTACTTTCAGATATTATTTGTAATATTATTCCGTCCTGTTGTTTCATAACAGTTTGTACTGTATGTGCATTTCTATTTTACATTATAAGATTATATATAAATTAATGTTTACTTCCCTTGTTATGTGTATGCAGTCTATTTTTATAAATTGAGATTTTGTTTCCTGATTAGCCTCATTCACACAGAAATGAAAGTTTAGATACAGAAGTGTATCCATTAAATATCAAGTGTTTAACATGTATTATGCTGTATGATATGACTCGCTGCTGTCTGCTGAGTCACCAGAGAGCCCATCACACCAGTCGGTGTCAGCCAATGAGAGACAGCGCACTGGGTGACTAGCAGCTCAACTTTGGCAAAGTAAGGTTGAGAGAGGAGAAGAAGTTAGCCGAGGCTTGATTTGAAATGTATAAAGGAAGTGAAGCTCTTGAGAAACAAAACAGCTGGAGTGCTGTGGCAAAAAAAAAAAGAAGCTCATAATATACTGTACAGCATCTGGCCTTGCTTCTTCTCCACGGTCATTTACAGTATTATTGGCAAACAGTCTGTGCTCGCAGTTTGTTGTGTGGGCGGCTGCTGGCAGGGTGACTTGAGGTAATTGCATGGTGATCAGGTCCAGCCCCCTTCACCTTCTCATCCACTAATTGGGCTGTTTACTGTCTGTGAAGGTCAATGTTTGGGCCGGAGAGAATATAGTTCCCACTGAAGAAAAAAAAAAAAAAACGAAGCGTTTCACACACAAACCTATTTGGAAAGTAGCCGGGATGCCTCAAGGTAAGAGGCAGTATGAGGGAAACAACTAATTGCCTGAATCTAGTCAGCTTTTCCTTTCCTGCCGCGGTTACTTGTTAGAGTGGGTGCGCCACTCAGCAGGACGATTTCCAGGCATCACTGCAACTCAAAGTGAGCTTCAAATAGCTTCCACTGTTGGAAACAATCTATCTGGACAGCACTTTTTAGACTTAATCATTGTCTCACAATGGCTTCTTAAGACACAGGTGTTCACAAAATATAGCTTTTTTAAAGTCCTTTCAAACCAATCTCCGCAGTCTAACATGTGGGGTATTGGATTTTCTCATAAAGGCTGTGTTATAATTCCCTTTTCAATAGTACCTTAATGTCAAACGTCATTCAGCTCCTGGTGTCATTTAACCTTCTGAATTTCTGTCATTACCCATGGTGAATATCACGGGTAATTTAACCTAACAGCCCCTTTCTTTGTGTAATTATACCCATTACAGCAATGTGAAGGATTTGACTCTGTCAACTCTCTCTGTCCTCTGCTCTCCCTCACAGGTTACAGATTCAGCTCTTCTTTTCAAACCCGGTGCCAACCTCATCGCAGAGCGCCACAATGCTCACTAGTGGGTCTTTGAGTGGGGCTCTCGTTTGGCAGACAGCGGGCTGATTGAAAAGATGCCTGAAAGGATTTTAAGAGCCTTTTTTTTTTTAAGTCATTAACAACACGTATGCCTTAAGGTCAGGCTGAGGAGAGATCAAATAATTCACGTGCAATCCGGCAATATGAACATACTGTGTTGAACATTAAGTTGATAGCATGTCTAACAGCTGTCATCCAACAGCTCTCATTTACGGACTGTTGAATGAATGCTTCGTTTACAATCTGCGGACATCGCGTGAGGTATTCACATCCCAAATCCATACTACACATACTGATTTTACACGGGTTATGTAAGTAGTAACAAAATGAGATATACTCAAACCAGGCAGCATGCATATTAAATAGTCTATTTTTGAGTTTGCTTAATTTTGCATAAAATGCAGGACTCTCTCTTGCAACAGAGTATTTCTCCTCTGTGTAATTAGTACTTTTACTTGAGTAAAAGATCTGAGTAACTTCCTCCACCACCACCAGATCACAGGGCCGGTAAGCTTCAATGTTTCTCATATCAACTCTGAACTTGAATGAACTGCAAAACAAACTGAAGTTAGAGACAGTTGCCAAGGGATTTACATTTTTATAACATTTGTGAGTGTTTTAATTAGCGTGTCTGTGCGTGCGATGGCTGCTCTGTGTGACTGAATTGCCTTATTCCTGATCTTGAAGAAACTTAAATTAAGCTGCTGAAGTCTCAAAAGGAGTATTTTTATTTTTTTTCTTGTATTTTTTTCTTATGTTCAAAAATATCTGTATATGGTTTGCACAAGTTATTTGACCTTTTATAAGCACCATTAAAAATAACTTAATTGCATGCAATATACAGGTCATGTTTGCACAAGATGAAGAAAATATGTTTTACACGAAAAGGCAATTTAATAGACACTGAAATGTCATTTTAAAAACACGGAAGTAAAATCTTTCTTAAATATGTTATTGAATTTATATGTAATTTTAACCATTTTCTCCATGTAAGACCCTCATATATTAGTTAGTGTTAAAATGTTTGGGAAAATAAAGATTAGATGAGTGTCTGGCTGAGTAGGGGAGTGGACCAGTGAATATACGCTTATAAATTAAAACTCTTTATTGATTAACCAGTTGCAATGGACTGATAGTCGGATGTGGGCAGTGAGCTTAAACATCATAATAATCAATATTAAACCACACTCACTACGTTAATATTTAAGCAAACTGACACTGGTAGAAATTGCTTCCATGTGTGAGCAAGCCCTTACACATAATCGGGTTGTTATCAACCCAGCATGCGTGCTGGAGTCAAATCTGACAGCAAATGTGTTAAAAGATTATGCAAAATTTAATATTCTGGGATTTACAGAATACATTTCCTGCAAGTTTCTCATGTGAGCCTTCGCTATTCTGGTCCATTAATGAGCTTCCCCTCATTGCTATGAGGCTTGGGGATTGTCACTCTTTGAAAAGAAATTAATAAGTAATATCACAGTGCAAAAACTTTGGAAACTTGTTTTGTTGCTCATCAAGGGCTAATTGGTGGCTGTTTTGGGATGTAACATGTGCCCCGTTAATGAGACAGTTGACAATTTGATAAAACGCCACGAGGCTTTTGGATTAATTTCAAGATTTTTAGTGGCTCAAGCTGAATTCAGTTTTTTTTGGTTTTACATTGCAGTTTGACCATTTACTAAACCCTCATACAGCAAGTGTTTAATCACCACTGGACACATGCAGGTTTATATTTGGATTTCTCCACATGCCAAGTCTACCACTTGGGCGGGTCTGTGGGGCTGTAACAGTGATACTCCACATATAAGAATTTGGAAGAACAAAAACACGAGCAAAATTGTAAGGAATGGATTAACGGTGCGGTTATGTGTTTTAATGAAAGCTGAAATCGTTAGCATGTTTGGCTAACTACTTGTAGTTAGCACTAAATTGTCTTGGGCCCAAATACATCTCTGATCTACTTGTATGATGTGAAGTTTTTTATTGCACCACTATTCCACTATCCTACTATTTCCCCACTCTGTGAGGATGCTAACATTTTAGCCCCAGTCTTTTAGCATGTATGTGGCCAAAAATGTATTTACTTTTATACGCTTCTTGTTTTTAAAATGAGTCAGTTAGCAACATTAAAAATTCAGCATTTTCAACTAATTCATGCACGTAATGTTAGCTTAACTAGTTATCTAACTAGGTGGCTAATTAAGCTAACGACAACTGTCCGTGCAGATTGTATCACCTGTTGCTAGCTAGTTGTCGTTTTGCCAGGTAGAAATGAAAAGTCTTTTGTTTTGCTTTTGTCTGAAATCAAGGACCCATTCTTTGAAAAACTAACAAAGAATTTTGGGTTGAAAAACACTTCCTGTGATAGAAACAGTTAGTGGCTCAGTGAACAACTGATATATTAACTAATTTCCCAGTTTCCACCTGATTTAGAGGTTGATATGTTCTATAAAGTATTTATCACTAAAAACGACATAAAAATTAAAATTAAATGTGATGCAGGAAGCCAAGAAAAATCCGACAGAACACAGGTGTATTAAAAAAACAAAAAGGTGATTTACTGTTACTGGCTCTCATTGAGCATACCAACATACACTTAAAGCTCCAGCTTTATGATTATGTAAATTTAGGAAGTAGAGATCTCTAAGCACGAGACACATTACTGACTTCTTCCTCAAATTAGAGGAAAGCAGAGCCGACCGGCATGTGATTGTGGAGTTAGTGAGCCCGTTGCTAATCACCAATCATCATTTTGACTCCAACATAAAATGAACATAAAATCGGGGCCTGCCATTTCCTTTGACAAATCAGACTGAAATACACACGGCCTCATGAGAACTGAACAGCGAGCTGCACAAGAGGCAATCCAGACGTGTTTTGAATGGCAGAGAGGTCACCCTTCGTCTAAAGACTCGGCTTCAAGCATCATCACAGCCGTCATTATCGCTGGCAAAGTACGTTTGCCACTTGCTGCGCCTCTGTCATTTCTATCAAAACTGGGAAACCGCAGGAAAACAGACACAAATGTGTGACTCAGATACACAGTTCAAGTATCAGAAATCAAGGTTTTTCCACAGACGGGCAGCAGATGAGCAGAAACAGTGCTAGGAACGCTAGGAAAGGCTAGAACGCATGACACTGGGGATGAAGACAAACCTGCACAGAGGAAGGGGAGACTAGGGGGAATACAATGAGACACAGGTGAAACCAATCAAGGCGGGACGGACAAATCATAGTGGCGGGAAACACACAAGGGCAGGAAGTGGGGATCCGAAAGGAGAGGAGAGGTGAGCAACAAAAATAAAATAGGAAGTAACATTATATATGAAAACTAGAGAAAACAAGACCTATAGCACAATATGCTATTTGTCTTGAGTTTGTTGGGAAGAACATGTTTGTAGCTTCCATTAACTTTTCACTCTAAATAAAAGCACAAAGAAATTAGCTCTTCTAACTGTGCAGGCTACAAAGCTGGTATTTACGTAGATGGTGTGCCGTAATTCATCAAAAATGGCTGCCATATAAAATATCTGGCACTTTAGCTTCTAAATGCTCCATTGTGTTCACAAGCTAGTCGCTGGTCAGGTAGGATACAGTGGGTCCTTAGAGCCTCTTCAGCTGGAAACAGCTGCCTGTTGATGC